ATGTACCAAGCGGCTTCCCAAACAAAGGCTAGCGGTTGCAGCTCCTTCAGCATATGTCAACCTGTCATTTTCACATTTCCTGTTTGCCTCCTTCCTTGGCTCCTTTTGGAGCTGCACATGTACTCTCCTTCCCACATGGTCCAGGCTGGGAGGTTGAAGCAAGAGAATCACAGGTTCCAGGCTAGTCTGGGTTCCAGAGAGATAGCTCCTGTTTTCTTATCAACGAAAGGCAGACTAGAACTGGGGTTGCTGGAAGGGTGGGTGAAAACAGCCTAGGCAAGGTGGCTGGGGTGCAGGGACCTTCCCTGTCCACATTTCACACTCAGAACCAGGTTCCTGACCTCTGGGCCAGGATGTAAACCTCCACTGAGTAGGAAGCATGGCTGCCTGCTGTCTAGACCAGCCAGGAAAATATGCCCTAAAGAATTGAGCAATTCAGCTCTGCTTAGATCTGCTTCCTTGCCTGTGAACTATGGACAGCTGTCAGGCCGATGGCCCCAGATACTGAGTCTGGGCCCCCAAGGTGGAAGGAAGGAACTGTAGTGAGCAGAAGCCCAATCCTGCTCACTCTGTAACTGTGGGCAGCCCCTCCACTGGCCACCAGCTGTGCGTCCCTTGCTACTCTGCTAGGGGCTCAGGATCCTACAGTGTCAGTCAGTGGTTCCTGGACCACAGGCCAGTGATGTCCGTGAAGGACGGTATGGACTGTAAGGAGCAGGTTGAGCTGCTTCCCCTGTTCCTCTGCCCAAGGCCTCATTTCAGATGGTGGAGGGCCAGGGGTGGGGGAGAGAGCTAGGCATTGGGGCAGGGTGTCTCTCAACTCTGGGATTCATTGCCAGAGGCCTGGCAAGCAGGGCCAAATGGATGCAAGAGGTGTGTTTCATGACAATCAGTGTGTGCGTGTGAATTGGGAGGCAGAGACAGATGTATCTTTATGAGCTTGAGGCCAGCCTGATCTACAGAGACTTCCAGGCCAGCAGCTTAGTGTAGTGAAACCTTGTCTCAAAAACTAAACTAAGTCTAGAGAGATGGCTCAGTAATTAAGAGCAGTGATTGCTCTTCCAGAGGACCAGGATTTGATCCCCAGCACCCACCTGGCAGCTCAGTATCAACTGTAATTCTAGATATGGGGGTGGGTTGGGATGTCTGACAACTTCTGGTTTCCTGAGACACAGCATGTCACGGTACACTTACATACATGTAGAATACACTCATACACATACAATGAAAACAATAAGTCAGACAGTAGTGCACACCTTTAGTCCTAGGACTAGGAAGGCAGGGGTAGGTGGTCTCTGTGAGTGGAGCTCTCTGGGTTGGATGCCTAGTCTACAGGGTGAGTTCCAGGACAGCCAGGCTACACAGAGAAACTGTCTGGAAAAACAAAAGGATTAAAAAAAAAAAAAAGTGTTACCTGCAGCTAGGCCGTTGCTCAGCTCCAATATGCTCATGTTTCCCTTAAGAATATTTTAAGGGCGAAAAAAGAAAAAAAAAAAAAAGAATATTTTAAGGGGCTGAACATGATGGTGCAGGTCTTCAATCCCAGTGCTTGGGAAACAGAGGCAGGCAAATCTCTGAGTTCAAGGCCAGTCTGGCCTACTTATGGAGTTCCAGGACAGCCAGGACTATAGAGACTCTGCCTCAAGAATAACAACAAAAACACAAACACAAGCACAAGAATATTCTAAGGGACTAGAGGACTCAGTAGTTGAGTCCTGGCCACTGTTCTAGAAGACCAGGATTTGACTCCCAGCAATTAGTGGTGACTCACAACCATCTGTAACTATGGTCCCCGAAAATTTGATGTCCTCTTCTGGCCTCCGCAGGCACAAGGCATCCATGTGGTATAGACATACATGTAGGCAAAACACCCATAAAATATATTTTTTTAAAAAAAACAGTATTTTAAATGATGGGCCAGTAGAGTGGCTGAGTGGGTAATGGTGCTTGCTGCTAAGCTGATAACCTGAGTGTAACCCATCCCACACCGCTGGAGAACACTCACTCCCCATCCTCCACACAGGTTGATGGCATACACAGCCACACTCACTCACCACACATACATACCCACACCAATTGTTGTTGTTTTTAAGATTTATTCATTTAGCACGTGTACGCTGTCCTTGTTTTCAGACACAGCAAGAGGGCATCAGATTTCATTACAGATGGTTGTGAGCCACCATGTAGTTGATGGGAAATTGAACTCAGGACCCCTGGAAGAGCAGCCAATGCTCCTGACTGCTGAGCCATCTCTCCAGCCCACCAATTTTTTTTTTGTTTTGTTTTGTTTGTTTTTCAAGACAGGGTTTCTCTGTGTAGCCCTGGCTGTCCTGGAATTCACTGTGTAGACCAGGCTGGCCTCGAACTCAGAAATCCACCTGTCTCTGCCTCCCAAGTGCTGGGATTAAAGGCGTGCGCCACCACCGCCCGGCCGAGGCCACCAATTTTTAACTTAAAGATTTTTATTTCATGTTTATGTGTTTCACTTACATGTATAACTCTGTACACAGTATGTGTGCAGTGCCTGAGGCCAGAAGCGGGTGACAGATCCCCTGCAGGAGACAGATCCCCTGGAACTGGAGTTTCAGATGGTGCAGGTTGCCATGTAGGTGCTGGGAACTGAACCCGTCTGGAAGACCCAGTGTTCTTAGCCACTGAGCCATCTGGTTATCCCTAACAAATGTAATTGTAAAAATATCTGTGACAACAAAATGGCTGTGAAGTATAGATCGTACTTCCCAATCCAACTGTCTTTTTTTTTTTTTTTTTTCGGTTTTTGTTTTTCGAGACAGGGTTTCTCTGTGTAGCCCTGGCTGTCCTGGAACTCACTGTGTAGACCAGGCTGGCCTCAAACTCAGAAATCTGCCTGCCTCTGCCTCCCAAGTGCTGGGATTAAAGGCGTGCGCCACCACTGCCTGGCTCAAATCCAACTGCCTTAAACCTGTTTTCTCTGCAGCTACGTATGCAGAGCACCCTGGAAGGGGACAGGCTTCTGTTCTGCTCCACACTGGCCATGCATTCCTAAGGAAATAGACTCAGGAGTTTCTGGCTGTTTCGTGTTGCTGTGGCTCACGTGTGCCTGTCATTTTACTTTGTGGGTGTAGAAGGGGACCCCTGTGCTCTATTCTGCATGCATCTGGCTTGTGCTGAATCGGGGCCTCCATGTAGGGTCTACAATTTCCATGCTAAGTGACCCTCCTGCTTCTATGTCCCAAGCAGTCATGACCATATGTGTGGCCATGACACACACAGCTTGCTCTCTGAGTTTTGCTTTCCATGTTTCAGTCTGCTGCCTCCCTGAACCACGGGAGCTGAGTGAGGGGAACAATCTCTGCATGAGACACATTTAGCTACCACACAGCCCTAAATTCAAAGGGTGTTCTGGACAGTTTTATGTCAGTGTGACACAGGCTGGGGTCAACGGAGGAAATGCCTCCAGTAGAACGGGCTATAAGCAGCCTATAGGGTAATTTCTTATGATGGGGAGAGCCCAGCCCCTTGTGGGTAGGGCTGTCTCTGGGCTGACGGTCCTGGGCTCTGAAGAAAGCAGGCTGAGTAATCAATATGGAGCAAACCAGTAAGCAGCATCCCTCCATGGCTTCTGCGTCAGCTCCTGCCTCCAGGTTCCTGCCCTGTGTTGAGTTCCTGTTCTGATGACCTTTGATGATCAACAGTGATATGGAAGTGTAAGCCAAATACACCCTTTTCTTCCTAATTGCTTTTTGTTCATGTTGCTTTATCGTAAGGACAGAAACCCTAACTAAGACACAGGGGATATTTTACCTTTTGATGGCTCTTTACCATTTGTCAAGGGAAACTGAGGACAGAGGTCAAAGACTGAATGGGGATCCCCCCACCCCACGTCTGGAGACTCTGCCCTGTGTTCCCTGACATGGCCCCCACAATGGCTGTGGTGAGGAGAATCAGATGAGTGGTAACAGGAGACAGGGTGCCAGGTGGCAGGGCTTGGCTGGCCAGCATCATGGTCACAATTCCTCTAGGACAGAGCAGAGGTGAAGCTTCTGAAGGGCCCTGTGCTGTCCGTCTCTAGGCCACCCCCAGGGTTTTTCCTGAGTGCAGCATCACCTGTCCTGGAAACCATGCCCAGCCTGGTTTCCTCATCACCTTCCTGCTTAGGGATAGGAAAATATTGGTAGAAAAACCAGAGGCAAGGGCTTCTTAGGGAATAAAATTATGTCTGAAGCCCAACTATTCAGTGCTCTTGTCCCAAGTAGGGACAAGGCAGGTAAGCCATGGACAGCCATTCTCTGAGACTATGTCTGGTGACAGACTCATGATCCTAGGACTCTAGAACATGAGGCAGAAGATCTTGAATTCAAGACCAGTCTGGGTCACAGAAGGCACCTATAGGACAAATCTAGTTATTAGAGGCTTGCAGACTAAGTGGGCATGTATTTTCCTGTATATGATCATGTACAGGAAAGAGCCTATCATTATTAGGCTTGGGAGAGATCTATCAAAGTCAAGGGGATGGTGTCATTGGTCCTGGAAGACCTCTATTTTGGGGACTGGTGACACTGTATCAGGCCTGGGGAGACTCATGAGGACTAGAGATGTCTAGGAACACTTGACATTGGGTCTGGGCTGATGGACTGCTGTCTGATCAGGACTGGGGATGTCTGTAGTCAGGACTAGACTTTGGGGACACATTGTTGGACCTGGGGATATGGTCATTAGGTCTCAGATCCCCATTTTGGGCCATCAGATACCTGTTAGGCCTAGGTGTGTGCTGCCATCTTTCATTCCTCCTCACAGGACTCTCATGTTTGAGAGTTTCACTGTGTAACTCAGGTTATACTGGAACTGAAAGCAATCCTTCTGCCTCAGTCTCCCTGGTGCTAAGATTATAGGCACGAGCTACTCTATCCAACTTACCTTCTTTCCTTCAATACAGACTATGATACAACCCAAGTTGGCCTCAAAGTCCTCATGCCTCCGCCCCCATGGAGGCCTCAGTGACTGCAGCATGGGAGCCGGGCAGCGGGTCTGCTCTTCATTTATTCCAAGCACTCAACACCGACAACACCATGACTTCTTAGATCCTTACAAACACAACTACGTCCAAGTGGTGACAACACAAGTGTGTTCTAGGTTTTACCAGGTACAGAATCAACTTGCACGACGCACATCCAGGAAGAGGAACACACCGGAGCCAGGGCAGGCCAGGCCAGCACAACTTTTGGAATCCATGGTCCTTGTGAACGTGACCCTGGAACTAGAATGACAGGACAAACACTGTGACAGGGACAAGGTCATCACACGAGTATGCATCAGGTGTCTTCCACAGCCCTGTCCCCAGGGCAACTTGGCTGGAGAGCAAGGTGCCCCAGGAGGGCAAGGATGGCAGGGTGTGTGTGAGGAGGGTCACACCAACTCACACTGAGGGTATGAGGTATGTGCTCTCTCTCCCCACCATTCACCCTGTCTCCAGAAGAGCGCCCAAGAATGCCACTCTCAACTTGGGGGAAAGCTTGACAGTCTCAGCTCTCAGAGTGACAGAGACTTGTACCAGGGCCATCTACCCACAATTCCTCAATCATCTTGAAGACCCAGTGCACCAGTACAAATGCAGACGTCTGGAGAGAAGCTGGAGATATGGAGCGAGAGGCACGCCCAGGTATGTGTGCTCCACTTACGGACAGGAACTCCTCCTAAGAGCCCACCACAGCCAACATGGAAGCTGCTAGAGAGTGAAAGAAAAGACCTGAAGATGAAGCTGCAGCTCGGGGTCCCTGACCTGCCGTCATCTCCCACCCTGCAGATTACAGTGTCCAAGGGTCAGACCCTTTGGCACTACAGCATCTCCACAGCTACAAAGACCTGTGAGTTGCCAAGACAACAGAAGAGAGTGAGGTAGGCGTGAGCTGCAGCAGCTGTGAAGAGGGCACACTGGGGAACAGAAGGCAGAGCTAAGCGCACCGCCTGGGAGAGTTGAATATCACTACAGCAAGATCCTCCAGCTGTGCTCATGGTTGACACCTGACCACCATGTCCCCAGACCTGACATCAGCCTTTCTAGATTTCCAAAGACTGATTTCAAATGCCCAGCACTGTGGCAGGGAGGCTGGGACACAGTGAGAGTATCTGTACCAAACAGGGGCGGCAGGCATAAATGGAGTTGGGCTAAAGCAGACATCCATTGCAGCTGGGCCGCGCTGTCCTTCCAGAGGCTTCAGACTGACACTGTACATGGACACTGTGCTGCAGCACCACAGCACTGGCCTGCAGGAGCAACAGTATGGAGGGAGGCTGGAGGGGCAAGGACTGGGATTTTCCCAGAGACTGAAACAGGCGTATTATAAGCCTCAACTATATTAAATTGGGGCTAAGATTTTTGAGAAGTCTCTCAAGACAGGGTCCTGCTACACAGCCAGGCAGGACTTTAACTTGCCCTAGATCCCCCTGCCTCAGCCTGCAAAGCTCTCAGAATTCTGAAGGAGCTGAGACATCACTGCTCAAAAGCAAGAATCCACAGTGCTCCCTCTCCACTGGAGCCTGTCTGTTTCCAGATAAGCTCTGAAGACAGCAGCACAGGGCCTTGGGAGGCAGGGCAGGGCTGTGTGGAGAACTTACAGTGGGGCTAAGCCCTGGGTAACAAGGCTGAGGACCCACCCTACAAAGAGGAATAAGATGAAGGACAGAGGACAGAGTCAGAAGCAGGACAGACAAGGGTGCCTGAGTGGCCGCTGCACTGTGCAGAGTGGCAAGGCCTGGTGGAACCTGACCTAGGGATGTGGAGCTGGCCGAGTACACACCGAGGCTCAGGCTGCAGGCGTCCGGGGCAGGGTGACGGGAAGGGCAAGGCTGCTTCGAGGCTTATCTCTGTCGCCAGTGGCTCTGATCTAGTTAAGAAGAGAATGGCTGTTCAGAACTGTGTATGGAACATGATGGGAGAGAAGGTCAAGAACCAAGAATGAGGGCCGGCGATAGGGATCAATGGGTAAGGGTGCTTGCTACCAAGCCTGACTCAAGTCTCAAGGACTTGAGTTCAATTCCAGAGTCCCACGTGGTGGAAGAATTGACTCACAAGTTGTCCTTTGCCCTTCTTATGGGCACCTCAACACACCTGCTTACACACACACACACAATAAGAGTAAAAACAAAAAGAGCCAAGAGTGGGAGGATGAGGCCTGTAGACCCTTCACAGCACAGCACTTGAGGCCCTCAGGAAGGAATGTGGGGGCTGAGCAAGGCCACTAATCAGGTCTGTCCTAGCTGTTTGGCTCCTGCAAGGAACGTCATCTTCGAGAGAAACCTGGAGTAGGAACAGGCAAGGCCAAGGGTGGCCTGCTCCCACGACAACATGCTCAAAGCCAGGCAGAGGCCCTGGAGGATGATGGGAAGGCTGGGGCCCATAAGCTGCCCTTTTGTTGAGGAGCTTCCTCCTCTGCATGCCTGGACAAGAAGAGGGGCACATGGCAGGAATGGCCCTTCTGCCTCAGATTTTCTTTCCGGTAGCATCAGGGGCTGGTCTGGGTCCTGGCACGCACCTATTTGCTGGCCCGCTTGTGTCTGTACATCTGCATCATGCGCTGGCGGAAGACGTCAAAGGTGTCTTCTTTCTGCTCAGGCCCATCAGCTCCCAGGCCCTCTCCTTCTGAGAGAGTCCCCCTGCAGAGCAGAGGTGACAGTCAGAGCTAGGATCAGGAGTCAACTAGGGTGCATAGGGACATGGGACAGATATCCAGAAAGGAAATACAGTCACAGGGCTGGGACATGGTTCAACGAGTGCTTGCCATGCAGTGAGGCCCAGAGTTCTCTCCCTAGTGTTGGGAGCCGACCCCTAGCAGAAAACGGCTATCATTTTTGCAGCCATCTCAGGCCATATACCCTGACAAGAGACTTGTTTTCAAAGGCCGACAACAGCTGAGCACACTCTGATAAACATCTTGTTTTTCTCACATATCTTGTTTTGCTGTTTAGTGCCCCCAGCTGCAAGGCATGTGGTAAAGTGTCTTCAGCTGCGTTCCCCTGCTTGTGCTTATATATACCCAGGATTTCCTTTCAATAAAGGAGACTTGAACAGATTCTCTGTCTTGTCTCCATTCTTCGTGTCTCTTGCTCTTCCATCTCCACTCTCTCTCTTGCTAGACCCTGCTGACTGACCCCAATGGGCCAGGACATAGTGTCCCCCAAACGTGGGGCAGAATGGGTTGTTACACCCTAGCACAACAAAAATTGAACAAGAAGCCACTAGCTCATGAGGGTATGGTCTTTTGTGCTTGCAACAGTCTTTTATGTAGCCCAAGTTGGCCTGGAACTCACAATTTCCCTGCCTCAGTCTTCCAGGATTACAGATAAACTCCAGCTACGCCTGACTAGAGCCCTCTGTGGGTTTGTAGCCTGATCACAACAGGTCACCTCACCCAGCGTGTGTTGGTGCTGAGGGACACACCCTCTGGACATATGAATAGGGCTGAAGATTTGTGTCTCCATCCTTGCAGCCTGTAATGGCTTCCAGAAACACCTGTGCCATTACTAAATGTTGCTTAGATCTAAGGGTCAAGAAGCTGTTCAGGTCTATACAGGATGGAGCTGGTCACCCCTGTGTACCTGAGTGAGCAGCTAGTAAAAAAATGACCTGGCTGTATACTCTGGTATAGCCTCAACCCAAGCCACCCAAGGGTTCACCCAGCCATGCCATACACGCTGACGGGCTCTCGGATGCCTTTGCCGAGGGAGCCCAGGCCGTGGCCTTCCTTCCAGCCCATCTTCTGCAGCATCTGGAAGCCCACGTTCTTGTCTGTCAGTTTCTGCTGGGAAAACTCCAGGTCCTTGGGTTTCTGAAGAGAGAGAGAGAGGTGGGTGGGTTCCAGTCTGTTCCAGTGTACACTGGACCTCCAATGGTGCTGTAACCCCAGATGGCTGGAAGGTGAGCTCCACTCACCTCCAGCTTCCCTGTAACATCCCTGGGGGTGGGACTTCTTGAGGGCAGCCCCTTACCCTAGGTTAGAACTGGCAACTGGCTGTGGGGCGGCATGCTGCTGCCCTGTACTGAGACTATGAGGGAAACTCTGTGAGGAGGGTGGGGCCTAGGCCAAAGCACAAGTGACTGAACAAGAGACCTGTAAGGACGAAGGGCCCTCTGGCATCCAGCCTCTTCTATGAGTGGACTGCTCTCCTGTGCACTGCATAGTTTATATTGTAGGGCTGAATGCAATCTCACTCTCTCTAGCCCAGGCTGGCTTCAAACCTGAGATCTTCCAGCCCAGCCTCCTGAAGGCCGCGAAGCAATCAATAACAGGCATGCCTACACCTTGCTGCTGTCTTGGGGATGGAGCTTGCTGTGATGTCTGGGCCAGCCTGGAACTCCTGTGCATAAGGAATCATCCTGCCTCAGCCTTTTGAACACCTAGGACACAGCCACATGCTCCATACCCAGCTCTGCAATGTGCCTGAAGCCTCATCCCAAGCAGCAGACAACCACTCTGATCCTGAACCTGCAGGGAGAGGGAGGTGTCACAGTGTAGTCACACACACCTTCTTTTTGGCTATAGGACGACCCCGCGGCCTGTCATAGGCAATTCGAACTGGTTCGTGGACTGGAAGACAAAAGGGAGAGATCTGTTCATATTGTACATATGTCCCATGCCCATGTCTAAAGATAGACAGAAATGCTGCCTGGTGAAGACAGTCCACACCTTTGTCTGCCCTCACGGCCGATGCTGGCTCCCATCCCATCTCCGGCTCTCAAATATTCTATGTTTGCTGACCTGTGAATGGCTGTGATGAAGCCAACAGCAGTGTCAGTGCCAAGGGTACCACTTCACCACCACTCAACTCCTGAGTGCTGGCCTCACAGAGACCTGCTGCATGGGCTGCTTTCCATGGCTACAGGAACACTCTCCTGCTGCAGGCAGGTCATGGCAGCACTGGGCCCTCCTAGTCAAGCCCCTTAACTGTCCAATTTGAGAGCACAGAGCTCAGGAGAGTGCTAAGCTCTCATCATGGAAGTCACTGAAAACAGTGCCAGGTCTGTCTCACGGATGCGCAGAGCACCAAGGTATCTAAGGTAAGATAGAAGTATGGCTCAGCTCTCAAGATACAGGACACAAGGGTCACAGTGGGGCCACTGGCCATCCACTACAGTGCTAAGGACATATCCTTAAAGACTGTGGCAAGTGGACATCTCTGACTATAAAGTGACAGTTTTACAGAGCCAGCAAGGTCCAATGGTCACTGTCTTCTCAGCTTCACTACTGGTATGGGGAGAAGCTGGGTGTGTCTCAAGGTCAAGGCAGGGAAACGACAGGCTCAGCTTCTATCACAGCCTCTGGTGACAGAGCTCCTTGTAGGGAAGCAAGCCTTCCTTACTGGACATACAGGTCTCATGCTAACACCTTAGAGTGCAGTGCACAATGGCTAAAAATACTTCCCAGCCAAAGCACAGGCCCAGGGGCCACATAGCACTGGCCTAGCTGGGCTTCCTGGCAGCACTGTTAACCAAGAGAACCTGGCTGTGCTGGCACACCTGCAGTTTCACCCTGTGGGAGCTAGCTAAGAAGATTACTGTATGAAGCCAGCACAGGCTAAAGACGTATATTATGTCTCAGAAAACCACCACAAAACCCAAAATTCACTCAAATCTAAGTCCTGAGATCAGAGAACCCTGTGTATTGTGCCAGGCACTTGGGCCCATCTGCACACACACAGGCCAGCAGGTGCTAACCAGGAGGCAGGGTGACTGGCTGTGGCTGGCACAGCCAGAATGGCTACTGATTGGGATACTTACCCTTTGACTCCTGGATGAGACATACTCTCTTTGGGGCAGGGATCATGCCAACTTTCAGCGACTTGCTGCTGATTCTCTTCCTGGGGAAGCAGCTGCCAGAGGAGGACTGTGACAGGCCAGGGGTGCCGGCCTGGTCCTCCTTTGAGCCCTCTCCGGGGATGCTGTCAGTAGGAGAACTGCCCTCGGAGCCTGGACATTTGGCATCTTCTGCCTGTGGCCTCAGAGTGCAGGTCTCCTCTCCGCCCTCGTCCTCCTCACTCTCCTCCTCATCTTCCTCTTCCTCCTCAGGCAGTACCTCGGGGTCTTCCAGTGCAGCCTCCTGCTCAGGGTGTCCCTCCTGTGGCTCACCCTTACCCTCTTTGCCGGATGTGGGGCTCTGTACTGAGTACTCCGCCTCACCAGTGGACTGGAAGGAGATAGATGGGCACAGTTCCAGCACCTTCTCTCGGTAGAACTTGAAAGCTGTACTGCTCTGGTCATGCAGGAACCTAAGGGGAAAATGCACTGCTGAGCTGCTGAGTGTGAAGCTCCTTCCTGTCCCAGGACAGAGGCCAGGCCTCCCCATGACTCTGCTATGGCTTCCCAGAGCAGCTAATGGGAGACAGAATGTTCAGACCCCTGTAGGACTAGGACTGTGGAATCTAATAATCTTTGGATGGGACAAGATGATCCTGAAGTCTGTCAAGACAGGATGCTTCTGCAACTTGCAAGAGGCACTCCCATTCCATCCCTACCAAACTCAAAAAGAAAAAAGAAAGAAGAAAGGAAGATAAACAAAGGAAAAAGAAAGTCTATGAGGCAGCTCAGCCAATAGAAACACTTGCTACACACAGAACGGAGAGCTGAGCTTAGACCCCAGAACTTGTTTCCTCTGACCTCCACAAATGCCCACAGCAAATACACAATAAATAAATGCATGAAGGATTTGAGATGCCTGAGTAGCACCAGATGCTCACACATAGACCCAAAGGCTCAGAAGCACAGAAGTTGTGGCCACAGAAGTTGTGGCACAGTAGTGTGGGCTGGTCTCCAGCCTGCAGTCACACTAAGAACCAGCTATTGTTTTTTTTTAAATTTTTTTGATGATTCTTTTTCATTTTTTTGTGTATTGGTATTTTGCCTACATGTATGTCTATGTGAAGGTGTCAGATCCTCTGGAACTGGAGTTACAGACAGTTGTGAGCTCCCATATGGGTTCTGGGAATTGAACCAGGGTCCTCTAGAAGCTCAGCCAGCACTCTTTTTTTGTTTGTTTGGTTTTGGTTTTTTTGAGACGGGGTTTCTCTGTGTAGCCCTGACTGTCCTGGAACTCACTCTATAGACCGGGCTGGCCTCAAACTCAGAAATCCGCCTGCCTCTGCCTCCCAAGTGCTGGGATTAAAGGCGTGCGCCACCACTGCCTGGCTCAGCCAGCACTCTTAACCACTGAGCCATCATCTCTCCAGTGCCAAGAACCAGCCTTTCTTGACCCCAGTATTTGTTCCCCAAGATACCAACAAGTTGCCACCAAAAACCTCCCCTTCTTCAATGATGCTGGAACACATGGCCTACCTTACCTGGCAACCCCCTTGGAAAAATGCTCACAGCAGCCACTTTGCAAATGACCCAACGTTAATCATCTGGTGTGCTGCTCTTACAGGGGACTCGGGTCCAGGTTCAGCATCTATACCAGGCAGCTCACAACACCCTGTGACTCCAGCTTCAGCAGATCCAGTGCCTTCCTCTGTCCTGCATGGGCACTTGCATACATGTGTTTCACATAAACTCACACACACATATACAGATTATTTTTTAAAAGACAAATCTTGCCAGGCAGTGGTGTCGCGCGTCTTTAATCCCAGCACTTGGGAGGCAGAGGCAGGTAGATTTCTGAGTTCGAGGCCAGCCTCGTCTACAGAGTGAGTTCCAGGACAGCCAGGGCTATACAGAGAAACCCTGTCTCGAAAAAACAAAAAACAAACAAACAAACAAAAAATAAATCTTCACACATCAAATAAACAAAAACTAAGGAGGAAAGGCAATTGGGGAAGACATTCAGTGTCTGGCTTCCTTGTGTGTCCATATAAGCAAGTGCACCAACACTCACAGTCATACATAAATAATAGCACACACAGGCACACACGTATACAGTAGTTCTAGCAAGTACAGACTGATAGTGACAGTGATGAGCAGCTGCCTGGGGAGGGAAGAGGTGACAGACAGAAGGTGGGAAAGCACATAGGGTTATAATCAGCTTGGCTGGTACAAAGGGCTTGGGGGGCAGAGCTGAATGGCTGTGGGGTCAGCAGGTGTGGAAAAGCCTATTGCAAGAGCGTGCAGGACCATCCAATGGAGGACTCAGATGGAGCAGAGGGGAGGGAAAGGCAGCCCACTGGTAGCACACATATGCTCTGTTCTACTCCTGGCCTCCAGAGGCCAGCTGTGCCTCTCTTGTCTCTAAGTGGGAGAAGTGAAGCCAAACCAACCACAAACTGAGACCTCAGAAGCCATGAGTCCAAACCAACCACTCCCCCTTTGTGTTGTTTGTACAGTTGTTCTGACACTGGGGAGGGCAGGACTTACCAGAGGTCCTGGGGCACCCTTCATGAACACGCTGGACAGCACTGTTAAAGGAGTATTATGAATGACACACTACAGGATGGCAGGGAGTCCAAAACCAGTCAGGGGGACAAATGTGCAGGTGGAAAGGAGAGAGGCCTGGACATGGTTTTGCAGTGCCAGCCTAACTGGGCGAGTGCTCGGCACTGAGCTATGCAAAAGAAAAATGAAAGATGCAAAACCAAGAAGGCTCCTCCTTGTTTCTGAGAAGGGTGAGTGGGACTTCTCTAGGTGGTTTTTACATTAGAACAACAGAGTAATTAAAAATTCCAGCTGGGTGTGGTGGTACATGCCCAAGGAACAGCCTGAAATGAAGCATTTGTTAGCTCAGGCCCAGGGGGTAGCACAGCAGCCCTGACAGTCCATGTGCTCAGCAAGCAGGATGTGGCTCTGCGAATGGTACACTGCCTCTCCTGGGAGCAGGAGGCAGCCTGGGCAGGACAATCAAGGGCCAGGGCTGAGGAGTGCAAGACACAACGTGTGCACACGCACGCACACACCAGGCCCAGGCAGCCAGAGCAGCATGCTCTGTGTGCACTGGAACCATAAGTTCTTTAAGACATGTAAGCCAGCCTGTCTGCCTTCTGCCCATCCTACCTGCTTTCCATCTTGTTCTGTGCTTTTGGAAGCAGGACTTCAACTTCCCTATGTAGCAAAGATGACACTGAGCTACTGACTTTCCTGCCTCCACTTTCTAAGTGCTAATGTCAGGTATGGACCATCATGTGGCTTATGCAGTGCTCGGGAGACACTAGGGCTCGGTGCATGCCAGGCAAGTATATCAACTTAATTCTAGCCCTAGCCAAACCTGAAGTTTCCAACCGTAGTCTGTTGCAGCACCAGGCCTCTTACACCCAGCAAAACATTCAACTATATTTTCAGTCAGACAATGACACAGCTCTCCAGCAAGTAGGAGGAAACCCAATAGTGCCAAGCTTAGTCCTGGGAATACACGGGCACAGTGGGGGTGGGAGGAGGGGTCTCATACGGCCTCTGGAGGAGCCTACAAGCACCTTCATCATAGAGGCCTTCCACCACAGGCTAGAGTTTCCACAGCATCTGTGGGTGTTCAGGGCTGGTTTCTGGATTTTTCTTAGACAACTTGTGAGGCACATGCACAAATGCTGCTGGAGTACCCAGCCCTTTGTCTTTGTGTGAGGGTGGATGGAAAAGAGGGCAAGGCATTTCCTGATGAGCTGGTGAAGGCTGACCCAACAGATGCCAGCTCTGGGCCAAGCTCAGCTGAAGATGGAACCCATCCTGTCTGCTCACAGCATGTGGGCCATGGGGTGTGGTGGAGTTCAAGGCACGTACCACAGGTCAGGGTTGTCAGTGCTGTTCTCTATGCTGAACTGCTCAATTTCAGGGCCGACCTGAGCCACAAATCTGGCCAGCTTCTCAGCAGTCTCCATGGTCTTTGCATCCACTACAAAACAGAAAGCAGTGGTTGTGGCTCCTTAGCCTGACTCAAGCTGCTTACCCTTGGTCCTTCCCTGTACCGTGTGACTCTGGAGTCTTCTCTTTGTCAAAATTAGGTGACAGGCAGATTGTGGCAGGCAGAAGCATCAACAGCCCCATGGACCCCTGGGCTGGCTGTGGGGGGAACAGGCAAATGGCCATCACCCTCATCACCTCAGACAACAGGCTGCCAACCTACAGCTCAGACTCTCAAAGCTTAAGTCAGCAGCCACCCAGCCAACAGCTCAGGACACTGCCCGAGTCAGGAGCAGAGAAGCGTGGCGGTCTATGGTAAAGCTTGGACACTGTGCAGTCTGCACATGTCCCCACCTAAAGCTGGATGGGACACCTGGGGAGAGAGAAGGTGAGCTGGTGATAACCAAATGGGTTGCATCATCAGCAGTGCAGCTGTGCAGAGGCAGAGTGGTCCAGGAGGCATCTAAGGAAATACCATGGAGGGTTTAAGTACATGGACCCCAGGCCAGGTTAGAAATACTTGCAATAGTCTTGGGGTATAGCTTGGTGGTGTCTGCCCAGCAGACCTGTGGCCTTGCATTCAATAGCTAGCACTGCCGAACCCAGACTAATGAAGACATTTAGAAAGCAACTGCCTCTGTTCATACTTCACATTCTGACCCACCCCAAATAATACAGGAATAATTATTTCTATTATTTCAGACAAGGTCTCACATAGGTGAGGCTGACCATGCAAATCTGGGTGGGTCCTCCTGGGTCCTACCTTCCAAGTGCTGGATGACAGGTGTGCCCCACAACCCAGCGTCACGTAGTGTGGGTGAGGCCAGATGCTGTAAGCAACCCAGGCAGGCTGAAAATGTAGTAGAGGCCAGGCACGGAGACAAGGGTGTAGTAGGTCAGTGGCTGTAAGTTCCAGCCCAATCCCAGCTACAGCACATGCCAGGTCAACCAAGGCTATGGAGATCATGTCTCACACAAAATAAGCTCTTGTAGGCCATGGTGGTGCATGCCTTCAATCTCAGCACTTGAAAGCAGAGACAGATAGATCTCTGTGAGTTTGAGCCCAGTCTAGTCTACATTAGTGAGCTCCAGAATTACCTGAAGAGATCCTTTCTCAAACCTCTCATAAACACAACCAAAACCAAGCAAAGCCATAAGAGGGTGTGTGCGAGTTCTCTGAAAAACGTGTCCTTTTCCATATGACTTTCACCTCAGTGGACTCTGCCATACACAAGGGTAATGGTGGCACGATGGAGATTCAGGCCTGGCCGCCCCAATATCAGTACCCCATGGGCAGTGCCCAGCAAGGACACTGTCAGATTCTCAGGAGTCAGGGCTCAGGAGGAATATGAAGGACAGTGTGGCCATGTATCCGTCCTGTCCTGATTCTTCTGACTACTCTAGCTTGCCGTCTGCCCCAGACTGCTGAGCACCTAGTGCCCCAACTCCTACCACCCCAAGGGACCCAGATGAACATGGGACAGGATGGGGTAGGAGTGAACACCTACTATTAGCAGAGGGGCATCGAGAAGAAGCTGGCAGGGCTTCCGAGTCATCTCCTGCTGTTGGCCGAGGAGACGGGCCCAAGGCTCCAGGGCTGGAGGGCTGAGGACGAGGTTTGGCAGGCTCTGGTAGGCAGTCCTGGGCAGCATCACTTGAATCCCGTGGTGGTGGCTTCACCCTCAAGGAGCCAGAAGCCTGGCGGCCATGGTGTTTCTGCCGAGTGCCTGAGGACAGGGATGTCTGCTGGGCGATGGTGGCCTTCTTGGCCTTAAGGCCTCGAGGACCCTGGGAGCGAAGCAGCCGCCTGCGCTGCCATGGGAGGAGTCTGCGCTTGAGGCTCCGCACAGCTTGTGCATACAGCATGGCACGCACCGCACACTGTGCTGGTGTTGGCCTCCGCTCCACGATGGGCCAGCTGTGGTTCAGTCGCTGTGACTCTGCCAGCTTCAGCTTATAGTACTTATACTCCAGGCTGCTTTCATCAGACAGAAACCTGCCAAGCAGACACAGGGCAGAGCACTATGAAAGCAGTACTGTGCTCGCCAAGGCATAGCTGCCCTCCTGAGTGAGGGACCTGATGCCCTCTGCTGCCCAGGTGCCCTAACAAAGTCTGAAGCTTGGATCCAGCTGGGTGCAGAGGCTTATTCTTAGTCCTATCATTGGGGAGGCTGAGCTGCAGAGAATTCAAAGCCAGCCTGGACTACAAAAATGAGTCATTCTCTTTTTGTTTCTCTGTGTAGTCCTGACTGTCCTGGAATTCATTCTATACACCAGGATGGCCTCGAACTCAGAGATCTCCCTGCCTCTGTCTCTGCCTCCAGAGTGCAGGGATTAAAAATATGAACCACCACTACTTGGAAAGACATTATCTTTTTATTTGTTTGGTTTTGTTTTTGAGATAGCCTTACTATGTAGTCCTGACTAGCCTGGAACTCACAATGTAAACCAGGCTGTCCTCAAACTCACCAAGCTCTATCTGTCTCTGTTTCTAGAGTGCTGGGATTGAAGGTGTGCAATTGAGCATTTGTTGGATCCTTTTTCCACTCTGGTGAGCAGCCAGGAGGGAGCTCCGAGCCTGGGAAGCTACAGGCTCCCCCTGTCCTGAAGCACCACAGCAGACAAGGGGGAGGGGCTCCTCTCACGTGGCCAGATGGTCAAGTGCTTTGTGAGCTTTCCCTGTGCTATTGAGGGAGGGGAGGGGTGGTAAGACTGAGGGGAGTCCGAAACACCTGCAAATGTACTCGGGACAGCTGAATAAACTAGGCCGAGGTGGCCGAGGTGGTCACCTCACTGCCTCCCTCAGGTACAGGATGTCAAATCTCTGCTGGTTGTGAAGGAACAGAAGGAACAGGAACCTGTGTCCTCCATTTGGACCCTGGCATTCACCAACTCATAAAACAAAAACAAAAACCAAAAAACAGCAACAATAAAAACCCAAATAATTGTCACAGTTGGCTCTCTACACCCAGGTTTGCTGCTTGGGAGTAAACTGAGCTTGGATGTAACACAGAAAGAGAAGAGACAGACCCCTGCTGCTGCTGCCCTTATCAATGAAGCTATGGACAAGTCACACTGCCTCCAGTGTTTCCAGTCAGCTAGAGATTATGTAAAGCATACAAGACAGTGGATGAGGTGGCACACACGCATACAACCTCAGCACTGGGAAGGCTGATCAAGTTTCAGATCAGCCCAGACTCTCAAAATTCAAAGCAAACCATGTGCTGGAGGGGATGTGTCTAACAAAGACAGGACACTGTTCTGCATGAGGCACTGAAAACCCAGACTTTAGGACCCCAACGGTCTTGAGCCCAACCCTTTGCTGATACTGGAGGTGACAACTGAAAAGTCTCTGGAACAGTGATTGAGAGTTCCCCAAAGGCCAAGGGAACACCTGGCAGAGCCAGAGCCCTACTTCCCTAACAAATTATAAGTGATCAGAGAGCCAGCACAAAAGAGAAGCGAAGCTAGAACCTGTGTGCACTTCTCTCACCTGCCACCCCGGCACTAGAGGCTAAAGCAGGAGGAATGCCAGAGTTCAAAGCCAGCTCCTCCACCACACACTACCAAGTATGGCTTCTATCTGTCACCTCTTGTGGTGACCATCAGCTGCTAGGCTATGTCCAGTGTCTTTGTGGCAGAGGTAGTCCTCTCTAGATCAGGTCCTTCCGGTGACATCACCCTTAGGCCTCTATACCAGGATGCCTTCTTATCAAGTGGTCTCAGCTCCCTCACCAATCTAAGACCACCCAGCTTCCTCCCCTGCTTTTGATCTTGGCTCCAGCTCATCTTAGCTATGCAACCTGCAAGCACAGCACCTCTATCTGTAAAGCAAGGATAGGTACAGACCAATGCACAGGAAGCAAGTGTAGAGTCAACAGCAACCAGGGCTGGGCCAGGAGGATTCCTTCAGCCCAGAGAGTCTGGGTATAGCTTGAGCCACAACTTAATATCCTATCTCTTATAATTAAAAAAATAAACAAAATCAGAGAGGCTAAGGATTAGCTCAGTGACTAAGAGTTAGGAGCACTTCCTGTTCTTGTAGCAGATCCAGGTCGGTGGCTCACAACCATCCATGACTACAGTTCAGGAGGATCCAATGTCACCTTCTGACTTCTTGAGCCACTAGGCATGTTGTACACATGGAGGCAAAACATTTTTTAGCCTTAAGTTTTTTACAGAGAGTCTTTATCCTGTAGTCTCGGCTGGCTGCCAGTTCTGACCTTCTTGCCTCCCAGGGCTGTAAAACTCCCTTTGTTAGCATGTGCTTTTGGGGCACCTGTCTCTTTGCACCCTAGGACAGTCCAGCAGAGAAGGTGAGTGGTGCTCAACTGCTCTTGCAAAAAATAAAACAGGGCTGGATAGAGGGCTTAGCTGTTCAATTTCCAGCACCTAAATGTCAACTGAAAACTGTCCCTAGGTGATCTGACACACACTCCTGGCCTCCTCAGACACTGCATGAATATGGTGCACAGACATACACGCAAGCAAAACACTCATACACATAATATAATTATTTCTTAAATAAGAACATGTCCTTTAAAAAAAGATTAAAAAAAAAAAAGACAAAATAACTATGCCTACCAGTAAGCAGGGTCCTGCAGGAGAAGTGTTCTCTCTCTGGGAGATAGCCTTCCTTGGATGACACGCATGACAAGCTGGTCAATGGTGTCCACCACCCTGTGATCCGCCCGCTGGGGAACTGCTGCAATACACAGAATGAATGTTGTAAAGAATGGTGGACCACAGAGGCCTGCAGACCAGGACAGTGAACTGGAAGGCGGTAGAAATCCACACGGCCATCAGCAGCTGGAACCTTCAATCATACAACACTGGTGTTGAAAAGAGGAAAGCCTGGTTGAGGAAGAAAATGCCCTGCTGAATGATGTCCCACCTCAGCCGTCAGTAGTGAGAATCACTGGGCTGCAGAGAGCTAGGTGTAGACTCCAGAGAGGAGCTGCTAAGCACGGCTTCAGTATCGCTGTACACAGGCTATTAACCTAGAAAACAGCACGTGAGATGCAGCTAGTGGCAGAGGTAGTGTTGTGTGCCTGTGGCACAGCTCAGGAGATCAAGTAGGAGGACTGTCTGACCCCAAGAGTTTCCAAACAGCCTACGCAACATAGTAAGACTCTGTTTTTAAAAAGCAGCCACCAGGCAGTGGTGGTGAACATCTTTAATCCTAGCATTCAGAAGGAAGAGACAAGTAGATCTCTGTGAGTTGGAGGCCAACCTGTCCTACAAAGTGAGTTCCAGGGCTACAAAAAAAAAAAACAAAAAACAAAACCAAAAAACAAACAAAAAAACCCCACCCCGTCTGCAGAAACAAACAAACAAAAAAAAGTAAAAACAAACAAATAACAACAAAAACCCTGGAGTCAGAGAGATGGCTCAGTGGCTGCAAATCCCCAAATAAAAAGCTGGGTGTTACAGACAGTGAACGCCTGTAACTCCTTGCTGGCCGTCAGCCTCATTCCAGATTAAATAAGACCTTGCGTCAAGGGAGTAAGACAGAGAGTGATAAGAGCCTGTACATTCACACACATAGTACACACTTATACACACTCTTACACACATATGTAAACATACACACACAGAAACACACTCAACAAGATACCTGAAAACAAAAGACATCATTGATGGGGCTTGGTCAAGAGCACTTGTTGCACAACTCAACAGAACCCCTCGTGCATGCCTGCTACCCAGTACCGTCTACGCACAGGTAAACGTACGTGGTGCATGTGCACATCTGTTCAGATGTGGAGGTCAGGGGATATAGGTGCCCGGTCATTCTTTACCTTATTCCTTGAAATGGGGACTTTTACTGAACCTGGAGCTAGGCTGGCAGCTAGCAAGCTCCAGTGGACAACAAACTATAGCCATCTTCCTGTCTCTGGTCCTACAGAATTGGGATTATGGACATGGCTACAGTTTTACATGGTTGCTGGGGTTTAAACTCAGGTCCTCATGCTAATTCAGTCAGTGCTCTTACCCACTGAGCCATGTCTCCAGCCCTGTCTTTTTTTTTTTTAAATAACTAATTAATGTGTGAAAGGACGTGCACATATCATGGCCTGCAGGTAGCAGCCAGAAGACAATGTGAGTCAGTTATCTCCCTCTACCAAATGGGTCACAGGGATTGAACTTCGGTTGTCATAATAGGTGGCAAGTGCCTTTAACTTAAGACCCATCTTACCAGGTCCTCTTTTAGTTTTTTAATTTTTATGTGTATGGGTGCTTACATGTCTGTGTACTACTTATGTGCCTGATAACCACGGAGGTCAGGACACTAGACACCCTCAACTGGAGCTACAGACGCACATGGGTCCTCTGAAAGAACAGCTGGAGTTCTTTTTTTTTTTTTTAAGATTTTACTTATTTTTATGAGTACAGTGTAACTGTCTTCAGACACACCAGAAGAAGGCATCAGATCTCATTACAAATGGTTGTGAACCACCATGTAGTTGCTGGGAATTGAACTTAGGACCTCTGGAAGAGCAGTCAGTGCACTTAACCGCTGAGCCATCTCTCCAGCCTGCAGCTAGTGTTCTTAACTCTTGAATCATCTCTTCAGCATCCCTTTTGCTTTCTGAGTCAAGGACTTTCAGCAATCTTGTCTCCCTTGGCCCAGGCTAGAATGGTGGGCCTGTGCCATCATGCCAAACTCAATGAGCACTGAGTGTCTGTAGAGGAACGGGTGACACTAGCTGAAGTAGCTGGCCACACAGCTGTGCACTCAGAGCAGAGGCTGCCAAGGAGATACCCATCTCTGCTTCAGAAACCTCTACTATACCAGGCATTGGAAGCCCCTGAGGGAAAAGTGGGGTCATTTACACATGGTCAGTGTCATGATGTAGTGAGTGCTGTAGAAATCAGATAAGCTGAGATGTCAGTCCTCTAGCATATAGGGAAGCTGAGGCAAGGGATTTAAAGCTTGAGGCTAACTAGTCTAGGCTACATAGCAAGATTCCAACTTAAAAAAAAAAATGACAAAGGAGGGCTCCAGTGGTTAGCAGTGCTTGCTGGTGCTCACAAGGGCCTGAGTAGAGCCCAGCACCCAAGCAACAAGCCAATCTCCTCACCAGTTTAAGGGACCTGGTGCCCATTTCAGGCTTCTATTCTCATACAGTCAAAGATAGATGGACACACACACACACACACACACACACGCAAATAAAAAAATTAATCTTTCTGAGTGGGGGAGCTGCACACACCTTTAAACCTAGCATAGAGGCAGAGGCAAGTGGATCTCTCTGAATTTGAGACAGGCCTGGTCACACAGTGAATTCCAAGTCAGCTGGGGTTACTACATAAAGGAGTCTTTAAAACAACATCAACATCATCAACAACAACCTAAAAAGAGAGAAGAGAGGCAGCTGCACCCTCAGAACAGTGTGTGTGTACTGTAGTGCCTGGGTCCTGCCTGGAAACCTGGGTAAGCCCAAAGCCCTGTAGCCCTGCTCCCCATCGCACTGGGAGCTTGCTATCCTCATTTCTCTTCCAGCACTTGAAGATGGGAAAGGAAATGCACCCAGCCTGCTTCTGGAAAGGACCTTTCTTTAGAAGTAGTGTGGTTGCTCATCTGTGTTGGGATATCTGCTTCTTGGTGCAGTCAGGGCTCTATGAAGGGAAGGGCTGGAGGAACAGTGACACCTTCTGGGCTAGAGGTAATGTCACAGGAGAGAAAAGATGAGCACCACGTCCTCTGATGCTGGGAAGGCTGGATGTGACATCATGCTGGGATCGCAGGAGAGGAGAGGGAAACCAAGCAGCTTTTCTATCCTACTTCCTGGTCAACACCAGAGCTGCCACCGACAGCTGTCTAGAAGGAATTGGGTGAAAGGTACCAATACCACCTGGAATGACTCAGCTGCTCCTTGATACCCCTCAGTACCCAATCACAGTCTCCCCTGTAACCACCTGTCCCACCACTAGGGCACAGGATCCACTAGATTTTGGTGTCCTGCTTTCTCTGCCTTCAGTGGAACACAGCATCCTAACCTCCATCCCATGCTGAAGAAAGTCATGCATGCATTGTTCCTAGTGAAAGCCAATCAGTTTTGTACATCTTTCTCACACACAGGTCTCTTTCCGAAGTAATTTTGAAGCTGGGGAACTGGGCTTAGTGGGTATAGCACTTGTGTAGCACGCACAAAGCCCTGGGCTCCATCTCCAGGACCTCAGAAAGTAGGGGCAGGGGAGGTAGTACATGCTATCATCTCAGAACTCAAAAGTGGAGGCAGAAAGATCAGAAGTTTGAGGCCAGCCTCGTCTACATGAAACTGACTCAAAACAAAGGGAAAAAGAATTGGGTCCTTGAGTTCTACTCTCAGTATTTTAAGGTGTGTAAAAATCTCAGAGAGGAGATGGCGGGTAACAGCACATGCTACTCTTGCAAAGGACCAAGTTCTATTCCCAGAACCCATGTTATGCAGCACACAAATGCCCATAACTCCAGCTCCATAGAACCTGGAGCTGGAGGGTCTCCTGACTTTCATCAGTTCCCACATGTATGGAGTACACATACTCAGGCATGTATATGTAAATAAGCAAATGTCACACACACACACACACACACACGCACACAATCTCAAAGCGAGGGTAAGATCTAGGGCAATGTCTGTTGGCAGAGCACTTACCCTGCAACACTGAGGACGTACCTGTATTCCATCTTCGGTCTGACATGAAAAATGCAAGGTAGGGCGATGCATGCACATGGCAGAACCAGGGAGGTGGAGAGAGGAGGCCTAACGGGCCCTACTGTCTAGCCTAATTAGTGAGCGTCGGGTTCAGTGAGACCATGTCTTAAAGGTGGTGGACAGCCTTCCTGAAGAGCAACACTTAAGGCTATCTTGTAGCCTTGAGACATGCATTTGCCTGCACCCTGCACACATATTTCAAAACCTTAGGACACCAAGATGACTCGCTGGGTAAAAGTGCTTAAAACCAAGCCTGATGACTGGAGTTCGGAACTCTCTGGCAGAAGGAAAGAACTGATTCTTTCAATTTGTTCTCTGATGACCTCCAAACATGTGCCTTGGCATTCAGACCTATACACATGCACACACTGAATAAAAATACTGTAGCATTGATAGTGATGACATTGTTTAAAAAAAGAAACCCTTACCTTGGCTCAGTGTGCTTGCAGCCCAGGTCTGAGCTGTGGTTTTCTGTTCTCGGGGCTCTGGGGGCACAGCCCTCTTGACCTGGAGGGGATAGCCACTGGCCATGAGCCAGGCCTTCAGGTGGTCTATGTACTCCCTTCCGAACAAAGTGGAGTCCTCAAAATTTGGGAAGTAAGCTGGAGATGGGGCAATGTCTTGGAGGCCCACAGCCTCTAGGATCTTCTCCTGCCGGAAGGAAGAAGCCAAGGAGAAGGTCTGGCCTAAGAGTGCCAGGGACTTCCTGCAAAGAGAGTTGGTGGTCTCCAGGGCCACAGCCAGGTCCAGTGGGCTAGTGAGGGTCTTCATCTTGACACTCAGCTCATAGGCATTACAGGCCATGAGTAAAGGCGTAACGCCCTTCAGCAGTCGGTCCTGGAGCCGCATGATGTACTTGTCGAAGGGCTTGATGATCTCAAAAAAGCAGTTTTTGGTCTTCACAGCACCTTTGTCTAAAAGCATGTTTAAAAACTCATTATCAACTCGAGGGGTTTTCAAAGCAGAGTGCTTTAGAAACTTGATGGTAAAAAAGCAGAAATCTCTGTGCTCCGGCTTCAAGGAACATTTGAAGGAGGCTAGCATCTTGGCACAGGTCTCAGTTTCCAGTTCAAACAGAGTCTGGAAGAGCTGGGAAAACTTGAGGTCATCCTTGATAGTGTGGAATCCTGCCCACTTGATGATCTCTATGCCAAACCTTGAGAACACATCTGCCTTGTCTATGGCATCAAAACCCATCTTTCTTTTGGGGAAGCCGAGGGTCCTAAGGTCCAGCCCCAAGGGAATCTTCAGAGCAGCGAACTGGATTTCATCCAGCACTGGATTTGTCCCAAGGGTCACATCAGGACTTGGGGTGGCTTTCTGGATTTGGTTAGTGCCCTGAGGTTTGGAAGTAATATGACTGACAACAGGTATTTTCTTCGTGGTCATTCCTTTCAGTGTGATAAGCTTCCCAACACCCTTTGCTCCAAGCAGACCCTGAGTGTCCCCCTTTCCTAGTAGGGTGCCTTCCTGGTCAGCCATGTTTAAAGACCGGCCTCTGGCCAGGACTTGCCCACTGCTTCTAGACACAGAGTCCACCTCCCCAGGATGGTCCAGATCATAATCCCGACTTTCCTTCTCCATCCGCCTGGAGGAGGCCAAGTCTCCTAACAACGAGGGCCCAAAACCATATTCCTGTGACCAGGAAGACTCTTGAGAAACTGAGTGACCCAAGTCTTGTTCCCAAGAGCCACGGAGCGCAAGCTTCCAGTCCTGAGAAGGAAAAGGTCCCAGGTTCCGCTGGCTAAAACTCTGGTCCCGGGAGTCAGTATGGGCTTGTTCCAGATCCCGGCCACATTCTTTGCGAAGATAGCTGTCCTCACCAACCGACTGGTTGCTAGATCTGAAGGAGGGTCCCACAAACATGTCACTTCTTAGACCCTCTCTTCCCAAGTCTAGTGAGTATACTCCAGATCCGCTGGCAGAGTACCTGCTATCACCATGAATGTCCTCATAGACATCTGTTCTGGCTCTTGAGCCCGTCCTTAAGAGATCTGAAATAGATGGCCATAGACAGACAGAAGGCACTTTAGAGCATGGACTGGAAGGGAATGGACCACACTCTAGACAAGTGTGAAGTGCAAACAGTTTGCTCTAACATTGTTTAAAATGGGTAGAGAGGCATCAGGATAGCTTAGTGCTTGCCATGCAAGCGTGAGGAGATGAGGTCAGATCCCCAGAACCTACAGTAAGACCAAGCAGGTGTGGCTGCCTGTAATCTCCCATTCTCAGGAAATAGAAACAAGGAATTCCTGAGGCAAGCTGGCCAGCCACAGTGGCCAAAATTGGTGACTCCAGGTTCAGGAAGATCCACAGCTTCAATAAATAAAGTGGAAAATGACTGGGGAAGATACCTGCACACACTGAGCACACAGGTATACACAGACATACAAACACACACACACACAACAATGAGAAAATGTCTATGGTGCCATCTCCAGCTCTTCACTGGCCAATGTGCACTGAGAACTGCAGCCAAACACTGAACCAAGCCAGAGTAAGAACACATGGGAAACTTGCACCTGCACTCAGTGTGGCCTTTCCCAGCATTCTCCCTATACAACAGTAGGGAGCACTGCCTCCCAAAGTTCCTGACTGTATTTGGGAAAATTCAAAACACATGGAAGATGAACACCTCTGTGCTGTGCAGATGCCACCATGCCATCACATATAAAGGGGCAAACATCTTCTAGCTTGCACTATATAGGGCTTAGAATAACCCATGTGTGGGGCAGTGGATGGGACCAACAGACAGAAGAACTCGTAACGTAGCGGCAAAGTTTAGAACCCTGATAAAACTCATAATTGAGCATGGCAGGAGTTCAAACTAGCTCCTGATCAGATTCCTGTCCTGAAGGATGTGGCCACAATAAGAGGACCATGACAGTCACGTAACATAGAGCCTAGAGTTCTCCATGCTAATGAGGTATGCAGGGGCCTCATTAGCCAATCAACATTTCCTTCCTAGACATCCCTTTTTGCAAAAGGTACTTAATCTGTGGTTCACCCTGAGTAAATCATATGCATCTTCACCCACCATGAATCCCCCCCCCCCACAGTGGGGGCTCATTGCAGGCCTGCAGGGCCTCATTCCCAACTTGTGGCACTCTGTCAGGCTTACTGTTTTTCTGCCAATCAGTTTTCCTTTCTCTTTCTTTTTGAGGCAGAGTCTTGATACACAGCCAAAACTGGCCACAAACCCACAGGGATCATCCTGCCTCAGGCTCCTTACTATGTATCCCAACACAAGCCCTTACTAGTCTTGCTGAGGAAATGAAGTGGTGATGTGTAGGGAAATGGCACAGTGGGTAAGAAAGAATGTTTGCTGTGCAAGCAAGAGGACCTGACTTCAAATTCCTACCACCCACAAAGGGCCAGCCACGGCTGTACGAGCTGCAGCCACAGCACTGAAGGTTAGTCAGGGAGATACTAGGAACTCACCAGCCAGTCTAGCTGAAATAAACTGTGAGCTTCAGCTCCAGTGAGTAACCTTGTGTTTCCCCCACCCCCACCCCAAAATAACAACAAAAACTAGATTAACCAGGCTTTTAATCCCAGCACTTGAGAGGCAAAGTCAGGAGGATTTCTTTGAGTTTGAGGCTAGCCTGATCTACATAGCAAGCTCCATGACACTTAGGACTACATAAAGCAGTGGTTTTGGACCTGTGGGTTCATTCAGAGTAGCTGCCAAAGACCCATCAGAAAACACAGACGTGATGTGTGCCACTTGGGTATCATGGCATGTTCAACCTTCTGATATTGCAATGTTAGGTTGTAATCTAAAGTTTACACTGAAAAGCTAATCAAGCTAAAAGAAACCTTTTAAACAACAAATCTTATTGTTTTCAGTAAGTTTATAGTTTTGTATAGGGCTACCTCCATAGCAATCCACAAGTCATGGTTTAGATATGCCTGCAAGAACTAAGATTTCAGTTCAGGCAGTTTGCTAGAGGCTGAGGCAGTGTCATAAAAGGGGCACAGCTAGCCAGGTATGGTAGCAAATACCTTTAATCCCAGTACTTCGGAGGCAGAGGCAGAAGGATCTCTGTGAGTTCGAGGCCAGACTGGTCTACAAAGCAAGTCTAGTCCAGGACAGCCAGGTCTGGTTACACTGAGAAACCCTTTCTTGAAAAAAAAAAAGGGGGGGGGGGAAGACAGCTGTTGAGATGGCTCAGTAAGATGGCACTTGCCACAAGCCAGACTGATAACTGGGTTCGATCTCTGGAACACACATGGTGGAAAGAGAGAATCAACTTCTGCAGCTGTCCTCTGACCTCTGCTTTCAGGTGCATGTTCACACACATGCACACAAAAACTCTTCTGTAGAGGCTAGGGTATAGTTAGGGACAGAGTATGGGCTTTAGCACAAGTAAGGCCATGCTCAGATTCTTTAGTGAGGAGGATGTTTGGCTGACATACTCTACTTATTGACAATACCTTCTGCATACTTAGCTGGCAAGTGGGCCACAAGAAAACATGATCTCCTCTTGACAAGTCCAGCAAGGATCACAGCAGCGTAGCTTATCCCCAAAGCACGACAGTCCACAGAGCTCCTCTGCATAGGCCAAACATCTTAACTTACCTTGAGCTTTAAGATGGAGAGCTTCACCAACAGCTTCAGAATCCCCGTACCGTTTAGATTTCTCCTGTAATACGCTGTCCAAAGACTCCTGCGCCATCCGCCTTGCTGCCATGTTTCTCTTTCCTATAGTGAAAGAAGTCACACTGATCAAGACAGCTTGCCTCAGGCCAGAAATCACCACTGAAAACAGGTGACACAACTAGAAGAGTGGCTACTCTGACTCACAGTTTAGAGAAGGGCTTCCCAGAGCTCACTTCACCTCTGAGAATTCTCTGGATGAGTAAGTGGCATTCTCACAAGAGGACAATAAGCAAGCAACTGTATACTCTGGGCTAGTCTCAGTGCAAGATCTCTTTTGCTTCTTTCAACAACCCACCCAAGACCCGAGTCCCTACAGCACAGAAAGAGCTGGATGACGTGCTGCAGGCAGTGATTCCAGAGGTAATGGCATTTCCTGTTCCAGGGCAACCAAGAGTATATGGTGAGAACCTATAAAAGGGCTGAGGGACTGGAAAGGCGGCTCAGTGTTTAAAAGTGCTCTCTTGCAGAGAGCCCCAGTTCAGTTCTCAGTATCCACAGTGGGCAACTAACACAAATAAAATCTTAAAAGGGGAAAGGGGCTGAGCTGGTTCAGTAAGGGCCCAAACAAGACGGCCTGAGTTCAAACTGGCCAAGTTGTCTTCTGACTTCCGCTCATGTGCTGTGGCATACATGTACCCAGAAATACATGAAATTAAGCAGAAAAACAGCTGGGCATGAGGACACATGTGCCTATAATATCTGATGATGATAAGGAACAAGGAAGATCACTAGAGCTTGGTGGTCAGCCAGACTAGCCAATCAGTGACCAGACATCAATTTCTGCCCCCCCCCCACCAATCACACTCACACACATACAGGATAGGACCTAGTGGAACAAGCATGTAATCCCAACTATTTAAGAGGCTGAGCAACAGGTCTACAAGTTTAAAGCCTGTGTGGGCTACCTAGTCTATTCCAGGCCAGCCTAGGCTACATAGGAAGACCCAGTTTTGTGTGTGTATAAGGGTTTTGTTTTGTTGTTCTTATTTGGATTTTTGCAACTACGTGAAAGTAGTCCATGCTGGCACAGGTTATAAACCTCTGATCTTCCTGCTTTTGCCTTCCAAAAACTAGGACTGCCAGTGTGTACTGGTAGGTTTTGCAGAGCCAGTCTTTTTAGTTTTATTTATTTTTACTTTTTTTTTTTTTGGTAGCGTAATCGAGTAGGAGGGATTCTAAATGATCTACCTACACATCTCTGGTTGGCCTCAAACTTTGTGTGTGTGCACATACATACACACACACAAAGGTTGCTAACGAAAGGGCAATCCACCCTGTCTCTGCCTCCTGGGAACTGGGATTACAGGAGTGAGCCATCAAAATCAGTTTGAGACCCTGCCAAAAAAAAAAAAAAAAAGGAATGAAAGAAAAGACGTTGACACACAGGAGAAAAAGCAGACTTGGAGAAGTGAACCACCGAGGTCAGGCATCCTAGTCTTGAGACTGACCAACAGGGCACTTTCTGTATGTAGAAAAAAACCTAGGCATTTATATTAGTGACAGCCTGCCATATGACACTTCCAACTTCGAGAGGTAAACCTCCCTTCTGGTCATTTCTGTAACCATCACCTCGTTTCCCCACACCCTGAGAAAGCGATAGGACGCCCCTTGTTCTCTGTCATTTAAGAGCAGGGACTCCTCCGAGTCAGCTGGTCCTGAAATCTAATCAAGGTACCTAATCTGTCTGCACCTCCGTTTCCCTGTCTATGGGACTAGCAGCCCCGGAGGCTACAGCGGTTCCCAGCAGCTGGAGGCCCGAAGCCCGCTCGCCGTTACGCCCAGCTCGCACGGCCGACTGCGGGCTCAAGCCTAATGAATGGACCCGCGAGACAAGCGGGAGGAGCGCGCTCGCCCTAGGGGCACTCAGAGTACTTCCCACCCCGGGCCCGCCCTCCCAGGTCGCCAGGGCCCGGGCCTCACCCAGAGCCTGCTGCGCGCGGTGCCGCCCCCGCCGCCGCTACCGCCTCCTCAGACTCCTTATCCACCGCCAGGCGAGGCGGGGAGATGCAAATAAGCCAACGGTTTCCGCAGCGCCGCGCCGCGCAGGCGCAAGCCGCTGCCTTGCCTTGGTGCGCAGGCGCTGCCTGCCACCGCCTAGGCTCTCATGCGCAAGCGTCGAAGGCAGCCATGTTGGCTCTTTCGCGCAGGCGCGTTGCTCACTTCTCAGAGCAGAGTCTACCCAGGTGAAAACTATCTCTTTTGAGGGGAAGCGACACCTAGAAGCATCATTGAGAAGACGGCAAGGGTTTCAGGCCCACGCGTACTCTGTGGCTCCCTTCGCTTTACCTGTCCTCGCGGTCGCCCTTGTTGCCCCGGGAAGGAGCCTCTCGGCTGAAGGAGGGACGCCGAGGCGAGGCAGCGCCTCTGCGCTTGCGCGTATATGGTGGCCCGAAGGAGCCAAAGGCAAAGTCTCGGGTGACAGCTGCGAGCCCCACCCTTTCCCCACGTGGCTGCGTAGACCCGGTGAGGAGCACCGGCTGCCTGCGCCTGTGGCTGGCGTAGTGGGGAGTGGGCGCCGCGGGGTTGAGGTGGTGGTGTTTGCACGACTCTCGGGAACTTGGTTTGGGGGAAGGAGAGAATTGTACCAAAGATACTTGGGAACCACATTCTTCGCCTTTCTTGTTGTGCAGGTTCTTTCATTCATTTTATTCATTCGTGCTGCACCTGTGTGTTCGGCTGCATTCTAGGCAGTGGAGCCGAGAATACCGGGGGTTCAGGACATGTGGCTCTGGGTTCAGGGGACGCAGGGTTTGCTGTTCATGTAGTAGTGATGCAGCGGGCGTGGCTGCTGCACCTGTCATGACTGCTCTAGGGAGACAGAGACAGAAGGATTGATGAGTTCTAGACCGACTCGGAATAAAAACAACCAAAAGCAAGAACAGGCGTTGTAGTGCACTCAAGAAGCGGAGGCAGAAAGATTGCTGCGAGTTTCATACCAGTCTGGGCTACAAAACTAAACGCCGCCTTTAAAACAACAGATAAGCCAGGGGGTTGTTTGGAGACTAGAAGATCAGGAGTTCAAGGGCAGTCAGATAGATCTACATGAGGCCCTAACTTACAAAAAATAAAAACAGAGGGAATTATTTCATGGGAGAGTAGAGCTGCTTGAACTAGACTGGTTTTGTTTACTTGAGGGGCAGGGCAGGGGGCGGTCAGGAGGGACTCAGCTACATAGATCAGGCTAGCCCAGAACTCACAGAGGTCTGCCATTTCTGCCTCCAGTGTTCTGGGATTATTGTGTTTTGTTTTGTTGTTATTTTTAAAGACAAGGTTTCTCTGTGTTGCCCTGCTGTTCTGGAACTTGCACTGTAGACTGTGCTGGCCTCTGATTCAGAGGTTAGCCTGTCCATGCTCCATTTGTGCTTTAATAACTGTTACTATTAATAAATTGTTATTAATGTTACTTAACATCATCATCATTATTGTATGTTCACATGTGTGCACAGTTGTGAACTACCAGATGTGTGTGCTGAAACTGAACTCGGCTCTAACCGTGGAGCAGCACACCCTCGCCTGCTGCGCTTTCTCCACAGCACCTCAGCCTTTACACTGTTCTTCTACACAGGGCCTCACTCACTAGCCCAGGCTGGCTTGGGGCTGGACATCACAGGCTTGTACCTTAAGGGCCAGCTAACCAGAGTGTGGCTTTTTAAACGTGATCTTTATACATTTATTTACTGTGTATGTGTGTCCTGTGTGTGTGTTGTATGTTCTGTGGCTCGCACATAGAGATAGAGGACTTATGGGAGTCGATTCTCTCCTATGGCTTTGTGAGCTTCAGAGAGAGAATTTTTGTTTTTGTTTTCTGGACAATCTCTTGTACCAGTAAATTGCCCATCCCTCTGCCTCAAGCCTTCTGGTGCTGAGATGACAGTTGTATACCACCACAGCTGATTCTACTGTTCTGAAGAACAGCATCAGAAGAGCTTGATAATGCTGGTTATATACTGTGCATTAGAAAATAGTACTCAGGCCAGTGAGATGGTTCAGCAGGTAAGATACTTGCTGCCAAGCCCGAGGCCCTGAGTTCAAGCCCCAGGATCTCCATGTTGAAGAGAACTGCAGACGTTTCCATCATCTTGGTGGATTGCTTATTGAGACCAGGGTTCATGTAGCCTGGATTTTTGTCTGTCTGTTTGTTTGTTTGTTTGTTTGCCTTTGTCTTGTTTGTTTTGGATTAGGGTCTCACTGTGTAGCTTTTCCTGGGCTAGAACTCTGTATGTGGATGAGGCTGGCCTAGAACTCCCAGATAACCACCTGCCTCTGCTCCCCAAATGCTGGGATGGCAGGCCTGAGCTCTTCTGCGGACAGGTCAGGTGTAGTAGGTGAGAAGAGCACTCTACTGTTGTTTTGGGCTTGGTAGACAGTGCCCTGAGTGCCCATTTCTTCTTTCTTTTTTCTTTTAAGTTTTACTCATTTTATATTTGTGGAATGCAAATGCAACAGCCTGCATACAAAAGTCAGAAGACAACTTTCGCGAGTCTGTTCTCTACCATGTTTGTTCTTAGAACTGAGCTTAGGTCCTGAGACGTGGTAGCAAGGGCCTTTACCCACAGAGCTCTCTCACCAGCTGGCCTTTCGCCTTTATCTCTTTGGCTTTTTGAGATAATGTCAAACTGTGTAGTCCAGTCTGGCCTCCTCCTGGCCATGAGCCTAATGTCTCTGCCCTCCCTACTGCTGGGCTTACTAAGGTAGCAGACCCCCAGGTGCCTGCTGTCCCCTGACCAAATGTTCCTTTCCACTCAACAGGCAGCGATGGCTTCCAAGCGTATCACCCAGGAAACCTTTGATGCTGCCGTGCGGGAGAACATTGAGGAGTTTGAGATGGGCACTGAGGAAGCCATTCGAGAAGCTGTGGAGCAGTTTGAATCGCAAGGTAGGGCAGTGGCTTCAATGCTGGCTCTTAGAGGCCACAGCCCTCAGCCTGACACAGTAGTGAGGTGCTGCTGACCTTGTCCCTGCTGCCTGTCCCCATCTTGTCACCAGCATCCCACTTCACCTCAAAATAAAAAAGGCGTGGCAGTTCTCAGCCACAGAGCCACATGGCGTATGCTGTGTCCAGGAGTCAGTCCTGAGAGTCATGGAGGGCAGTGGGTGGTAGGACTGCTGAGTGACGGTGGTAGCAATGGTAGGGTTTGGAGACCTTGAGCCACTTGGCAGGCAGCAGAGGCTCAAGATGAGAGTGATCACATGTGCACCAGGCCCTTAGAGCCAGAGTGCTAGGCAACAGCAAACCCATTCCTCTCCATGTGGGGGACCAGTGAAGTCAGCCAGAGGGAAGAGAGACAAGGCCCTGCTTCCAGGACACACAAATGGGTGCCCTAGCGGACAATCAAGTAACACTGGGGACATGAGTGTAGAGGTAGCTCACTTGCTAAGTTACTTGCTGAGTTTGCCTTGAGTTTGATCCAGAACCCATGTAAAAAGCTAGCCATAATGAGGTGTGTTTGATTTTGGAGGGGGGGGTGTCTTTTTTGTGATTTTTCAGGACAGGGTTTCTCTGTGTGGCTCTGGCTATCCTAGAACTTTCTCTGTAGACCAGGCTGGCCTGGAACTCATAGAAATTCACTTGCCTCTGCCTCCTGAGTGCTGGGATCAAAGGTGTGTGCTACCACCATCAAGTATCTTAGTTAGGATTTCTGTTGCTGTGATGAATCACCATGAGCAAAAAGCAATTGGGGAAGAGAGGGTTTATTCGGCTTCCACTTCCATATTGCAATTCATTATTTAGGAAAGTTGGGACAGGAACTCAAGCAGGACACAAACCCTGAGGCAGGAGCTGATGCAGAAGCCATGGATGGGTGCTGCTCAGCCTGGTTTCTTATAGAATCCAGGACCACCTGCCCAGAGATGGCTCCACCCACAATGGGCTGGACCCTCCCCCATCAGTCACTAATAAGAAAATGCCTTACAGCTGGATCTCATGGAAGCATTTCCTCAACTGAGATTCCCTCCTCTGATGACTCTAGTTTGTGTCAGGTTGACACACAACCAGCCAGTACATGTGCAGTAGGGTATGTCTGTAATCCCAGCACTGAGGTGGAGACAGATTATTGGAGTTTGCTGGTTTGCAGTTTAGCCTAATTAGTGAGCCTCAGGTTCCATTGAGACCCTGTCTCAGAAAAGAGTACAGCTTCTAAGGAGGCCGTGTAAATGTGGGTCTGGGGCTCCATTCCCCTTAGTCAAGACTATCCACACACGTTAACACATGAACAACACAAACACAACACACACAAACACATACATAGTGCCCAACGAGGCAGAGCCCAGTGGCAAAAGCCTGTGATTCCCAACTCTTCTTCATCCTTGTTACTGGGTTTGTTCATTTATTTGTTTCAAGACTGGTTCGTACAGCCTAGGCTAACCTCTTAATTCATTATGTAGCTAGAGCTAGCTTGAATACTGATCTTTCTGCCTCTGTTTCCCAGTGTTGGGATAATAAGTGTTCAGCAACACTGCCTGCTGACCCCAATACTTGGGAAGCTGAGGCAGGAGGATACTGTGAATTTGAGATCAGCCTAGGCTTCTTGACTACCTGAAAAACACTTTAATCACACGCTCATCATCCCAGAATTTGGTAGATGTAAGAAGGTGGAGCTCTATGAGTTTGAGGTAGCCTGCGCTACATAGTGAATTCAAGGCCAGCCTGGTCTACATAGACTCTGTCTCAAAAACAAAAAACAAATTTCTCCTAAACCACATGTACACATGCATGCACACACAAAATACTTACCACAGAGGGGATGCTTTTGAGGCCCCAGGAGGCCAGATACAAATGGACTGTTAGAGCTGTGAGTTCCAAGGGAAAGGCTCTGTGGGGTCCCTTCCCCATCTGTCTGCCAGGTAAGAGCTGCTACCTCACTATTCAGAAGCAGTGTGTGTGGCATGGCCTTACTTGTAGCCTGTGGCTAGGCAATACTGGAAGGAAAACTTCCAGCAGGGACCTCCTGACCTGGGGGATGTGAGGACGGATAGTTGTCACTTGACTTCAGCACTCATCCCAGCTTCCTCTCTGTAGGGGTTGATCTGAGCAACATCGTGAAGACAGCACCTAAAGTATCCTTGGATGGCCTCCAGGAGCCAACACATGATGTCCTGCAGGTAGGAGCCTCAGTCTCCGCCATCACGGTGGAACAATCTGGGGGGAGTCTCTTCCCCATGTTCCACATGGCAGAAATCAGTATCTGAATGTCAGTGGTCTGTCCATCTTGTGACCAGTGGAAGTCTACAGCCATGTGTCCCAAGTTCATGTGAGGGCAGCCCAGCCTCTAGATGACAGCTGAGGCACTTGGAGGATGTTTGAGACATGATCTCCCTGCCCAAGTGCTGGGGGTCAAGGG